TCTCCCTGTTGCATGTCCACAAGTGCATGAAGTGTGTGGTTCAGCCTGTGTGTGCGTATAAAAATAAAAAAAGAGTGAAAAAACAATTTCCCCAAAAGGGGATTAATAAAGTACATATCTTTTCTTATGTTATCTTAATAGAAAAAAAAATGTAATTATATTTTTAGGCCAATATATCCCAACCCTACCATATGTATATTGAAAGAGTTTGTGGTGGCTGTAACTGCTCTTCCTGTCCATACTGGCTGTCCAGTGGTCCCTACCTAGCATGAGCCTAGTGTCCTGTGCAAAATTCAGTTTATGAGGCTTCAGAAGTCTGATTGTATGTGTATCTTCCAAAGTTACAGTTTTTTAGTTTCTTGGAACTTTGGTAGATGGTCACCTCATCAAGCCTAAAACCTCATATTAACTTTAGATAAACATTTTAAATCATTTTTGCACAGGTAGGAGTGCAGAAGGTCAATGATCAGTGTGAACAGCAAGCAAAACCTAGTCCAGTGTTCAAACGGGCACCAAAAACCACAAAGATAGTCTTACAAATTGTAAAACTATGCTTTAATTTGTTAAACTAAGACTGCTGAAGTCTCATTTAAGTTTCAACTGACCTTTAGAACTCCCTTTTTCAGAGAATGAGGGCAGGGACCAAAATTAACAACCGCCAAGTGCCATATACCGGAGAATTTGGCGGTAAATTACGTTGTAGTCACCAGCCAGGTTGCCTGTAAATAATTGAAAATCACAGCGTAGGACAAGGTTTACATCGCTGTTTATTATGTGTAGCGGTGGAGACTAATGTGACCCTCATCAAATTAAAGCAGGTTACTACTACTTCCTACACAATGTGTGTCTATGTTTTTGCTGTGGGAAACATCTGTGTTACATGTTATTAGAGATTTGGCGACACATTAAGCCAACAACACAAAACATGGAGACATTAAGAAAGATGAAGAGAAAAGTCACAGAGGTCTGTATTTTTGCGTGACGTGGTGTCTGAACGATGCAGGAGCCTTAAGATCCTGCCTAAAATATATACCTCAAAAGGTTCCGAAATTCTCAGAACTTCAGGTCATTATTTCTAGTCAAATAATGCCTGATGCAGTTTTAAAAAAATATTTACGGCTAATAAATTCTCTCTGTTAACCTGCCATTGGCAGATGAGCCAAAAAGTTCATTTTGGACCCTAGAGGGGGGCTGAGTTTGTCCCACATCTGTTACATAAGGATCACATTTGGAAAGGATCACTTAACAGCCAGTATGGACAGAAAGCACAATAACAGCAACCAAAGCTCTTTCAACGTACACATGGACATGAGAGGATTGTCTTAAGACAGACTTTAAAAATGTGAACTAATCCTTTAATGTTACTGTCTATTTTTCACTCATTTCAAGTACAGTTCAGGAAATAAATCTATCTCCTGATTCCAGTAACGGAGCACCGAATATTGGTGAGACTTGAGAGTAGAGTGGACAATGACCCAGTTTGAAAATAAAACATTTAACATATTGCCTTTGTGTCTTTCTTTGGAATCAAACATTTTGTAATAACAGGAGCACATTTTTTCCCTTCACTCTAATACAAATCAAGTGGCTTTCATTAAGGTGCACTTGCAGCTCCATGTGAGCTTCTCAAACTTTGCCTCAGCGTATCTTCCCCTTCCCTCCCCCTCTGTCTGTCTCCCGTCTACTGTCTGATACATGTCGCTGACTCCCTGCTGCGCAGCCACCTCTCAGGTCTTGCCGCGGCATGAAAAGGACGCGTCGGAAGGAAAATAAACTCACACAAGTGCACCAGACATTCACAGAGGGCACCGGCCAAACGACACATTGAGCCCAGCTGTGTGTCCACGCCAAAACCAAATAAATAAAGTCAAAATCAAAAGAAAGAAAGGAACCGAACAGGGCTGCTCTTTAATCACAGCACAATTAGGCAATCTTAAATCAATTAGTGCCCTAACTTGTTGACACAGTGCATCTGGGGAGATGATGGACTGACTTCCTGCACACTCACGCAAACTGATTTCTTTTTCTTCTTTTTTTTTTTCAACACTGCAATAATTTGTTATCCTAGGCTCATTCGGAACACCACAAGGCTCTGAGGTTTTCTGAATATCATGCTTTGGGTCTATTAAAAGCCACAAAGCCTTTATTGTTTTTCACAGGCAGGCCCAGAGCGT